TAATTTAATACAAATTAAATTGCAAACCACCAACTTCTTTAAAATTTTCATATATTTAAACTAAAGTTACCTATTTTGTTTTGCAGTATAAATTAAATCAAACTACAAAATGAGTACAAAAACTATTAGATGGTAAACAATCTTAGTATTTAAGGACCACTTCATTTAATAGCTTTAGTTATATAATGTGAAATGTATAAAACTATTTCTTTCTGTTTAAATTATATGTATTTAAAATACATGCCTCAAATTCAAATGCACATTCCCAAACGCAGCCTAATTTAAGTTTCCAAACACAACATAATAAATCACTTACAAAAACATCAGGCAACATCTGGTTCTGCTACCAATCAAGAGATAGAGATCTGTTTTACATTAACAGATGGCCGAGACAATCTATCCCAGTCCCGGTCCTAGCTCAAGGTCTGGGTTTCAAATTCCCCTCCCCAACAATTGTACTTGTAAAAAAAAATACAGATTATATATAACTTGTAGAGTGCAAAATTTTAACGAGGGTCCAATTCAGTGACTGAAACTTCATTTATTGAGTACTGCATTGGCTTACTTGTCGATTGATCAGATTCCAACACCTTTATTGACTCTGTTCCACTATGGAGGAAAAAGGCAGGCTCGTTCGGTAGAGGTAGTGTGACTGAGTAACTGTTGAGCATGAGAACAATGGTTGCCATTGTTGGCCTCTCAGCAGGATCTTCCTGAACACATAGCAACCCAATTTGGATGCACCTAATGGCTTCATTTCTTGCGTAAGAATCTCCAAGAATTGGGTCCAAAAGCCCCAACGGTCTCCTATCCTTCCAAAGTTTCCAGGCCTGCACAAATTCATCAACCAATTTATAGAAAATTGTCCTCCATTATTTCTTTCTTATCATAGACGTATAATGTTTTAATTATTTATGGCTAGAAATAAATTCAGAGGCTGATCTGTACTCACATAGCTCATTAGGTCTCCAGTTCCTTCTGTTTGATGAAAGTTACTGTTCTTATTGCCGCTTAAAATCTCTAGAACTAAAACACCAAAACTATACACATCTGATTTCACAGAGAACTGTCCATGCATGGCATATTCTGGAGACATGTAGCCACTGAAAAACCAGCACTAATGTTAGATAAAACAACTACTGTATTCTTTGCCTGTATATCAATAGAACAATGAAAACAATATATCTTTTGTTTGTCTAAATGTAACAAAAAACTGTTGGTATTAGATTGATTATTTTTCATTCCATTCACTTTTTTCAGTGAGTATTGAGTAAGGATATGACCACAAACAAATAGACTGGAACTTAGACAAATGACTGAAGTGTTACTACTTACTAGGTTCCAACAATTCTATCTGTGCTTCCTTGAATTTGATCAACTCCAAAGATCCTTGCCATTCCAAAATCTCAAATTTTGGGATTCATGTCACTATCTAGCAGTACATTGCTGGCTTTGAGATCCCGATGTATGATTCCAGGCCAAGAATCCTCATGAAGATAAAGAATTCCTCTAGCAATGCCTCCTATTATCTTGTAATGTCTGGACCAGTCCAACAAACCTTGTCTCTCATGATCTGCATAAGAATAAAGCAAATCAAATTTGGCGTACTTCTACTTTTCTGCTATGTGTAGGCATGCTTCAGAGGAAAGGTTCTTGCAAAAGGGTAGGTGACACAGACCAAATAGAAGATAGTCAAGGCTCTTGTTGGGCATAAATTCATAAACAAGTATCTTCTCTTCTCCTTCCAAACAAAATCCTAATAGCCTCACTAGATTCCTGTGCTGAAGCTTAGCCACCAACGCAACCTCACTCTTGAATTCTTTGGCTCCTTGTACTGAGCTCCTCGATAACCTCTTCACAGCTATTTGTTGTCCATTAGGAAAACTACCCCGAAAATGTAAAACAGCAAATACTCGATAGTCCCACCATAAAAGCTTCTAATTTCTAAATTGAATTCTCTGGACCTGGCATGGACATTACCTTGTAAACCACACCAAATCCACCTTCACCTATTCTATTACTGTCTGCGAAGTTGTTTGTTGCAGCTTCAATCGAGTTGAGATCATACTGCAGTGACTCTATTGTGGTTATATCAGCCACAGCTGCACAACCAGACACCAAATATAACAATAAAAATCTGTGAAACCACAACGATAATTTTGGATTGAAAAAAGAAGTCATGTTTTCAGCATTATTTCCCTGCACAACATCATACTTCGTCCTTCCTCTCCTTGTCAGCAGGCAATACACCGCAATGAAAAGCAAAATAGAGACACGAACCGGGACAACAATGGCAACAATTATCACCCATGATCTTTGGCCTCTACCTGCATAAGAAATAAGATACGTCACCCATAAAATTGACTTACTTATTTCACATTCAACAGTTAATTAGCTAGAAAATGGAAAAAGATAGAATTTTGGCAACCTCCCCACACTTTTTCAGGCTTAGCGTGGATGGTTCCAGCGACAATTAATTTATTAATACCCAAATTTTCTGAATTTGATGAATGGAGAATGAACTACACTATATAAAAGATGTACAACTTTGAAGGCATATCATCATCACAAGCAAAAATTAATCAATAAATTATACGCTCAACTTTACCTTTGGGGATGATCTCTGAACCAGGAGGAGGAGTCAGAGTAAGCACCACCGGTGATGGTGCCGGCGCTGGAACTGCAGACTCAATATAAAAAGGATAAACTTCATGCCTAATATTACAACTAGGCTTCAATATTCTTCCGCCTACTTTTCCCGAGCAACAATTAGGGAGAGATGCTATGGCTCCTTGGAGACACCTATTACAGTCCAAAGTTGATAGGTACAGCATGCACTGGAACCAGACTGTACAGGGTCTGAAACGCAGAAATATCTGCCTCCCTTGTGGCAAACCTTTTAGGCGCCGACACAGCTTCAGCCGCCGCATCTTTCATGGCTGTGGCCACTATCCCGTTGAATCGGGTCGGATCCGTTGCATTCTGAAGGTTCCACATTAACACGTTCTCCGATTCACTCAGGGTGGAGAAAATAGATGCGTTGGAGTAGCGAAGGCAATCCTCGTACCAAATCACAGCAATTTTTTCAACCGAGCAACGCTGAGTCACATCTCTGGTGGCAAATGTAATGCAATTTTGACAAGTAGTGCTGGAAACGTCGCCGCGGCAGAGAAAGAGACCGTAGACCCTATGGGGTTTTTCCCAGAGGTCGTGTAATAGAACCCATTGGTGCTAGTGGCCGTGGCGTTGGAGGATAAGGCAGAGAGAAGGCTGTTGAGATTTGATTGATAAGTGCTGTTTCTGGTGAAGCTGGTCGAGTTGGAGCAGAAATGGTAGAGGTAAGTTTGGTTCTGAGTTTCAGTAGTGAAACTGAGCAGGGAGACTAAAAACAGGGTAATGAAGAATCTGCAACCGAACATTTTAAACGATCACCTAGGATCATCGGGAGAATCCAATATAAAAATGTGGCGAGTTCTGTTTTTCAATTTGATTATTAAGCAACGTGGACTGGAGGGGTAAAGAAAGGACAAAGGAGCAAGCTTTCCGCGCAGGCAAAGAAGACTTCTTGACGCCATGCCCTAAAAGCAAGTCTGGTGACTCTGGTCAAGTCAATCATTTGGTTTCCCGCAAAGGAAAGGAGACGGCAAAACTCGGTATTAATCCCTCAGACTTATCCTATATTAACATATAAGCCCTTAATCTAAAAAAAGTGCATCTATACCCTCAAACTCTGTGCTTGATGCAAATTAGCCCCTGGATTAACGGATTTCGGCAACTGTTTCCATGTGACACTAAAAATTTCATTTCTTTTTGGCTTGCGTGACATTCCATTTTTTAGTATCCCTGCTGACGTCGCAGTAAGTTTTTGTTTATGTCTTAAATTTTGACCATTTATCAATTTTTCCTTTTTACATGGTACAACAAGTGATTAATTTATGGAGAAAGAGGTGGAGAGAAGGTTACATACATTTGAATCTTTATTTTTGAATTCTCACTAATAGTTAAAATAATTTTTTATATTTAGATATTTGATCAATGAACCTAAAGAATTTTTTCATTTATTAACTAATTAAATAATTAATTATTGTATAAACTCATTTATAAAAATAAAATTTTTGAATTTATCCTTTTAAATGTGTAATTAATGTACTTTTAACTATTAAATCATATAAAATAAAAATGTTGGCATTAGTTTTAGTACTAATCGTCACGTATGCTAATTTAATTAGTTGATTACTAAAATTAAAATTAATTTATATATTTTTATATAATTTAATATTTAAAGGGGCTTTTTAATTTGTACATTTATAGAAGAGATTAAAAGTATTTTAATTTTATATATTTTTAATTAAAAGAATAAAAATTAACTTTAATTTTATTATCACCCAATTAAAGTCATATGTGTTATTAGTATTAAAAAATTAATTTTTATATTTTTTATATAAATTAATAGGTCAAGAATGTCATTAAAATACTCTTATAGCACACATTAGACAAATTTATAATTAAAAAATACATTAATTACAGAGGTTGAAAAACCTAAAAAACTGTTTATTGGGCTAGGGGAAAAATTATAGCTATTTAGTTTGAAAAAAAAATGGGATGAATAAAAACTTTTCAAATTTTAAAATAAAAATTAAAAATGTTTTCATCTATTGAATGCGTCACATCAACCAAATACCGACTAATTGTTAATCTGAATTTGAAAAAAAAAAAAAAAAAAGAAGGGGTAAAATGTTCCACGTGAACCAAAAAAAGGCGTAGGTGGTTGTGTCACGTAACGGCACAGGTAGAAATCTGACTGAGGGGCTAATTTGCATCGATCATAAGGTGAAGGCTTAAATATATGTTTTTTAGTTTAATGGCTCATACCTTAATATAGAGTAAGTCGAAGGGTTTAACAATGGGTTTTACCGAAAAAGACGAAATGTTGCACTAGTGGGAAGTTATTTATTTATTTATTTATTTTAAAAAAAAAAAAAAGGCAATGGGAATCCCATAGGTGGGGGTTGGGAGAAATAATAACGGTTGGAACTTGGAAGTTGGAACTTGGTGTACTAATTACGGTACATAGAACAGAAGAAACGTCTTTCGGCCAAAATAAAATTAAAAAAAAAAGGAATAGAAGAAAAGTCAAATTAGTATTTGGCCAAATTAACAAAGATTGAAGCTTGAAGCCTTAATTGGGAAAGAATTGTAAGCTCCGCTGGCTCCTTAAGAGGTTTCCCCCTGTTATGAAGTTGTTGCACAAAACGCCAGTGTTAATTGAGGTCAAAATAAGTATTTTTTGAGGATAGCAGTGGCATTAAGGGAGGGAATGGTGAAGAGGTGCTTGAAATTGGCATGATAAGTACTTTTTGTGGTGAAATTGTTGAAATTTGAGCAATAGTAAAAATATTTTCCATTTCTGAAGCAGTGGAAGTAATGAAGAAGGGAAACACGGTTCATGAAGAACTCTATGTAAAAGGAAGGCATTTTGCTGAATCTGTAATTCAGTTTCTCCTTCTTACTTTATAAGATTCAATCTTATGTTGAGATTAGGCAGCGATAAAATGCGAACATATTTGGACTCAATGAGAATTGCGGAGAAAAAAACATTAATCCTGTCAATAGGAAAATCAATGTTTTTCCTTCTCAAAAAAAAAAAAAAAAAAAAAAAAAAAAGAAAAAAAAAAAAGAAGAGGAGGAAAATCAATGTTTTCCATTGTTTAGTAATTAAAGGAAACAGAGAAGCTCTCAACAGCAACCACTATTAGAGGCAAATGATGATCTTGCCTGAAAGTGTTTGTTGAAATGTCTCTGAATTACAAATGCAGGCATTTATTGGCTGTTTCATGTGCTATAAGTGTCGAGATTAAAGATCGGTGTTGGTGTCAATAACTCCCGCCAATCCTCATGGATTATTGAAACGGCATAATAAAGTTGGAATTTTCTTCATTAAATATCATACTAGATGGACCAAGTGAAAATGAAAGCAGCTATATTTGATATTGTGCCGCAATACGTTATACACATGTCCAAAGCATGATGCTTTCTCTAATAAGAAGCTGGAAAATATCAGAAAAAGCACAAACAATCAGCGAGGTGACACGTTTGAAACTGTTACCTCATTGACAGAACAGACAATGTTGTCTACAGCAACTCGCCCAACAAAAAATGCAAGTTCTGTTGGTTTAGGAAGAGTTATGGTCTCACTGGCCAACATGACTATCACAGATGACATGGTGGGTCTGTCCACAGGATCTTTCTGCACGCACAACAGACCAATATGGATGCACTTAATTACTTCAAATTCCATACTTGAGTGCACCAGTTGTGGGTCTATTAACTGCATTTGTTGGATTTTTGGGGGTAAGAAGGGAGGGATTGAGAGAGGACTTGGAGGAGAAGTAGAGACACCTGGAGTTTCCTCTTTTGGTGAGGTCAGAACCCATCTTCTTTCATTGATATTCTGCTATTTATAGCAGAAACAACACAACATAACATAGTACATAAAAGCCATAACATGGAAGGGTGCAGACATTCACCCAACCGGAGAGGAGAAACCATGCTCTCTTTCTCTCAATTTTCATCAATTTCTTCCTTCCTTTTTATAGAGGAAGGTTACACATAAAACAATAATATTTTTCTACCTAAACTATAATTATTAACTATCTAAAACATTGACTAAAATGATGAAGTTTACTGCCATTTCTTGTAGCCCATGTGAAGTTCCATGCTGCTGTCACTTTGCTGCTACTGTGCAGTCATGTTGCAGCATCATTTAGCAGATCTCATTTCACTGCACTTTCAGCTTTCATGCCATAGCTCCAACAGCATTGCTTGACCATTAGACAATAATTTCCATGCCTGCAATTTGATTTTAAGATACAGATTATCTCACTTTGTTTATCAGATATTTGTCTGAAGACAGAACAAAGGTTGGACAGAAACTTACAAATGTCAGGAGGCTTTCACAACGTTCATAAAAGTAAAATCCATTGTTCTTCTTCCCACATATGATCTCTAGCAATAGGACTCCAAAGCTGAATACATCAGATTTAACAGAAAAGAGTCCTTCCATTGCATAGTCTGGTGCCATGTATCTACTGTTTAAATTTCATAAAACCATAACTAAAATGATTTAAATCCAGAATCATTGAACTTTATCATCATACTTCTTAGCTAGGATACTATTCATTAGGATACTAGACCATTAGATGAGGACTTTCTATGTTGCAACAACCCTGTTTGTGTTTGCTTGACTTTGATTTCCACAAAAAATCCTTGCCATACCAAAATCTGATATTTTTGGGTTCATTTCACTATCTAACAATATATTACTTGCTTTAACGTCCCTATGAATAATTCTAAGACAAGAATCCTCGTGCAGATACAAGATGCGCCTAGCAATTCCAGTGATGATGCTAAATTGTCTCGGCCAATCCAATTGCATACTCACCCGTGCATCTGACAAAAACCAAAAGTAAACTATAAAAAAATGGAAAAAAGTAATTGGTGTCATTTTCCTACACCCATTTCATGTATAAAGTAGACGTTGCTCGGTTCAAGGATCAAACCGAATAGGAAAACATCAAGGCTTCTGTTTGGCAAGTATTCATAAAGCAGCAATTTGTCATTATCCTCCAAGCAACATCCCAAAAGTCTCACAAGATTTCTATGTTGTAGTCTTGCAATTAGCATAACTTCATTCTTGAATTCGAGTAGTCCTTGACCAGAAGTTCTCGAGAGCCTCTTAACTGCAACTTCTTTACCATCTGCTAGAGTACCCTGCAAAAAGTCCATAAATTTATGCAACATGTATAACGAGTTAAATAGCAAAATGTGCCAACAAATTGCAACATGTAATCATCACCTTATACACAGGGTCAAATCCCCCTTCTCGAAGCTTGTTTGCATCAGAGAAATGTTTTTTTGCTACACTTACGATATCTAATTGAATTGAAGGAAATTCCTGGGATCCTCCCACCTGTTCACCCTGAAAATCTTCAGTTGAAAAGTCGCAATGTGTTCTTGCTCCCAACTCAAGTAGTTGAACCTCTTGGCTTTTCTCTCTTTCTATTGCAAGAAAAAATAATGTTGTTAGCAAACAAGACATGATGCACCACAGGAAATTGCAAAATCCACTGCTTACCCTTAGTATTTCTCCTTCTCCAGATGATGAAAGCAAAAGAACTGAGCAAAGTTAACCCAAGAACTGCTAATGAAGTTACAGCAATTGGAATCCACATTCCTCAAATAGAAAATTATTCTATTTCAGCCCACTGTTGTGCTCACAAAGCAGAAGCCAGGACTTCTACATTTAATACTAACAGACATAATGGTATTGATGATCATCCTCATCATTGTTAAAATTTACATGTCATGTGAGTTCCCCTCTTTTCTAGCAAAATCTGGGGTTTTTTCAATTCATTAATGCTATTTGAGCGCTGAATTATATAGGCATTGGATTTACTTCTAACTTATATAGACCAACATTAATTTTAAACTGAGGTATGACCTTGTGGTACCTGGTTTGGTTGTAGTACTACCATCATTTGAAGGTGAAGATGATGGTGGTTAATTCAGAGCATCATTGTACAAAGGATAGTTTTCAAATCTAAGATTACAGCTAAGTCCAAATACTCGAGCTCCCACCTTTCCTGGACAACAATCTGAAATGTTTCCAAAAGCTTCTGACAAGCAAGAGACGCATGTGGCAGTGACAAATCAGGAGTGCACTGCACAAGCGCATAGATCTTCTCCAAATCTGAAGTCACTCCTGTCCCCATTGGGAAACTTGACATTGGGTCCACCTGAGGCTGCTTCCAGCATGAGGCTTTCCAACAAGCTTTTCAAGGTGTCATTGAAAACACTAACATTCTTGGCATTCTTATTTCCATGCAACACGAAATAATAGGTACGATCCTCCTTGACGCCTAAGATGGAGCGATTTGAGGACCGGACATGCAATTGTCATACCATACAATTGCTTCCTTCTGGATGTGACAGCGATGGCTGAGCTCCATGAGAGCACTGTAGATGCATCCGAGGCAAAGTTGATACAAAACGTCTCTTCTGCAGACTGCAATCCCATTAACTTTTTTGGAGTTTTGGCCCATGGAACCACTGTAGAACCATAATCCTTTATTGTATTAAATGAGATTGAGGAGAAGAAATTGTTGAGGTTTGTCCCGAGGTGCTGTCTGTGAAGTTACCTCTGTTACATAAACAGAGGTACTTCAGGGGCGATTGATGAGCAACACAGGTGGTAAAGAGATGGAGGACAAGCAGAGAAAGAAAGAAAAACTTCCCTGAAGAATCCATTGCCTTTCTTTTTGCCTGGTTAATGTAATAATTGGAGGAGTAGGAAGAACTTTATGTTACTGCAATGGGTAAGATTTTCCTAATTCCAACACTGATACTGACATTTTTATGGATTCTTCAAAGTTCAATTTGGAAAGATGAACCGAAACTTCCTCTGACTCAATGTTTTCTCCCATTGCTTTCCATACGTGAAGATTTATCAAAAGGGAGTATAAAGGTTCAAAGCCACAGTAAAAACAATACAATTTTTGATGCATACAATACAATTATTTTAGTCCTTTATTGTTGATTTTTTTTTTCCTTTTTGGGCCAGGGGGAATTTTGGAGGAAACGGGAAACTATTGCAACTGTTCCGATAGGGACTTGAATCTTGGCATGAGTTAAGGTGTCTGATGCACATTAGTAGCTAACCAGGAGTTGGTAGTCCTTCTTGTTGATGTATAAGGACAGAACATCCACCCATTTTCTAATGCGTTCATGCATGTGGACCTTACCAAGTATTTTGTTGACAAGTGATTAACTAGAAATATCCTCAGAAAAAAAAAAGAAAAAAGAAAAAAAAGGAATAACAAAGTCAAGTAAAATTAAAGAACAAAGAAAGCAGTTAAACTTCAGGAATCTCATATTAACTCAATGGGCAAAACATATGTTCTAAAAAAAAATATCAATGGGCAAAACATAGTAGATAATTCCATCTTCAAACGTGTGGAACGGTCTTCCAGCTGAAATTTCTTTCTTAGGAGCTGCTAATCACTCAACATTAAGAACGTTGATTACCAAGCAATCAGCGAGGTGATACGTTTGAAAGTGTTACCTCGTTGGCAGAACAAACATTGTTATCTGCCGAGGGTGTAGCTGATTCTGCAACAACTCGTCCAACAAAAAAAGCAGGTTCTGTTGGTTTAGGAAGAGTTAAGTTCTCACTGCCCAACATGAGTATTACTGATGACATGGTGGGTCTGTCCACTGGATCTTTCTGCACACACAGCAAACCAATATGGATGCACTTGAGCACTTCAAACTCCACACATGACTGCACCAGTTGTGGGTCTATCAGCTGCATTCCTTGACCTTGAGACCATAGGTTCCATGCCTACAATTTCATTTAAGATTAATATCATACCATTTTATTAATCAAGTGTTTGAAGCCAGAATAAAGTTTGGATAGAAACTCACAAAAGTCAGAAGGCTTTCACAATGTTCATATAAGTAGAATCTATTGTTTTTCTTCCCACTTATGATTTCTAGCAACAGGACTCCAAAGCTAAATACATCAGATTTGATAGAAAAGAGTCCTTCCATAGCATACTCTGGAGCCATATATCCACTGTTTAAATTTCACAAAAACATAAGTAAAATGTTTAACATTATAGGACTACTTTGTTTGAATGACAAATAATAATTACACTCCAATAATAATAAAACTATGTACTTTATTTGGATATTGATTATTGGGATATTATCCTAAAAAGGGAAAGGAAAAGTAAGTAGGGGAAATATGAGAACTTACTATGTTCCCACGACTCTGTTTGTGTTTGCTTCAGTTTGATTTACACTAAAAATTCTTGCCATACCAAAATCAGATATCTTTGGGTTCATTTCACCATCTAGCAAAATATTACTTGCTTTAAGGTCTCTATGAATTATTCTGAGACGAGAATCCTCATGAAGATACACAATGCCCCGAGCAATTCCAATGATAATGCTAAACCGTCTTTGCCAGTCCAATTGCACGCTCAGGCTTGAATCTGAGAATAACCAAAAATATTAAAATATCAGTTGGTGACATATCTTGCTTCCTTTTCATGAATGAAGTTGAAGTTTCCTAGTTCAAGGATCAAACCAAAGAGGTAGACATCAAGACTTCTGTTGGGCATGTATTCATAAACCAACAATGTTTCGTTATCCTCCATGCAACATCCCAGCAATCTTACAAGATTCCTATGTTGTAATCTAGCAATTAACATAACTTCATTTTTGAATTCTAGTAACCCCTGACCAGAAGTTCTAGAGAGCCTCTTAACCGCAATTTCTTTACCATCTGCTAGTGTACCCTGGAAAAGTTAAGCCACAGGTAAGAATTTAAATCATAAAGGGCCAACTTACACATAAAACATGTAATAATCACCTTGTAAACGGGGCCAAATCCGCCTTCTCCAAGTTTATTTTCATCACAGAAATGTTTTGTAGCTGCATTTATAATATCTAACCGAATCGAAGGAAATTCTTGTGATCTTTCCACCGTCTCACCTTGAAAATCGTTACTTGGGTATTCATTCACAAAATTTCCTCCTCTCAAGTCAAGTAGTTGAACCTCTTGGCTGTCTTCGTTATCTTCGGCCAAAAACACAATTAAACTAACTAAATAAGATTTAGGAAATTGCATTAATGTAGCCAAATCCACTGCTTACCTCGGGAATTTCTCTTTCTCCAGATGAAGAAAGCAAAAGAACTGAGCAGAGCTAATCCAAGAACTGCTGACAAACTTGCAGCTATTGGGATCCATTTTGGTTTACCTCCTTCAATGAGAAAATGATTCTCTTTCAGCCCATCGTAAGCTCATGAATAGAAAGAACAGGAGAGACCAACAGACAGAATATTGGAATTGATGATCAGTTGATCACTCTCAATTTCTCATCATGAAATTTTACTCGATTTTAAATTATATCAAGCATTCAGGGCAGTCGATAAAAAAAAAAGGCATGCAGGACAATCTGGGAGACGATTAAGTGTTCGAAAAGAAAAGACAAATACTTAACGCGGAGACAAAAAATGAAATTACTCCTCGTTCAATTTTAATAATTTTATTTTGACTTTAAAATTTTTTAAATATAAATTTTAAATTAAAATTTAATTATTTA